GCCTGGGCCTGACCCACCCAGTAGAGCACGTCCGTCCAGCAGGCCTGGGCCTGACCCACCCAGTAGAGCACGTCCGTCCAGCAGGCCTGGGCCTGACCCACCCAGTAGAGCACGTCCGTCCAGCCCTCCATGGTGATGCACTGGAACACGGTGAGCATGGAGAAGCCGAAGTTGTCGAAGTGGGTGATGCCGTGGTTGGGCCCCGGCCAGCCGCCCCGGCACTCGCTGCCGTTGATGGTGCACCGGCGCCCCAAGCCGGACAGGGCGCAGGGCGAGGGCTTCTCATTCTCCACCGTGGCCACGATATCTGCAGGCAAAAGGCACGGCCCTCAGAGATAGGTGGGTAGCACAGTCATGGACCACCGCGTCTACTGACCCCTTCCGCTGAAAGCGCAAAGCCTGCCTCTTTAAAAAAAATCATTTTATTGGGGGCTTGTACCATTAAAGCCTGCCTGCCTCTTACGGAGCATGTGCGGAGAGATGAAGGACAGTGCTTGAGCAGTAATTACAGCTTAGCTCCCGGACCCCTGCTCCTCGGGCCCACTGTCCTGTGAAGTGCACGAGGAAGCAGGGATCATGGGTCCTCAGTGCCCTCAGAGCTTGGGGGAAAGGGGGCCGCTGCCTGGTGGGGCCAGGGCTGGGGAGTCTTCCTGTTGGGACTTGAGCTATCTCTGTCCCTGGGCGGAGACACAGGTACTCCAACAGCTCTGGGAGACAGACATCCACCTTCAGGGAGAGGGTCTGCTCTCAGCAGGGAGCGGGGCCGGTGGGGGGGTGGGGTGCTGGAGGGGGGCTCCCCTGCAGGCTGTGGCCTGCTGTGTTCCCCTTTGTTCCCTGCATGCTGCTTTCATTGTCTCTAAAACCCCCGCGGTTTGATGACATCCTGGGTCCCCTTTTATCTTCGGATGTCTGGCCGGCTCCTTTTGTGTTCAGAGATTAGGCCAGTCCTGGAACCTGATGTGCAGGTAGGACCCGGAGGACTTCCCACCGCAGGGTCCCCAACACCATGGAGTCAGGGGCACCAAGCACGCTGGCCAGTGCTCAGCAAAGCTCATGAGTGCACCTGGGAGGCCTCCACACTGGCGTGTGACCTGCCACGGACAGCTCTCTCCTATCCCCTGACCATGTGGGCTGCTGTGACAGGAGGCACGGAAGGGGAGGGGATGAGGAAGGAGGGCCCTGAGGGCTTCATCCGAGTGGGCCCTTCAGTGGAACATGGGGCTCATTCGATTGTCCCGTTGTTCTCAGTGGACATGACAGGGGAGTGGCGACTCCTGGGGGTCCAGGTGGTCTCTGCCCTCCTGTGTTAGCCACTCTGATGAGGCAGTTGCTGTGGCTGTCGGGGGAGGGCTTGTTCTAATAGGCCACCTTTTCCCTGCTCTGAGCACAGTTCTCAGGGTAGACCGTGGTGTAAGTAAACTCAAAAACCAAACTCACTGCCATCCAGTCAATGCAGCCTCACGGCGACCCTCCAGGACAGGGTAGAACTGCCCCCGTGACTTTCTGAGACTGTGGCTCTTTACGGGAACAGAAAGCCACTGCCGGCCTTGCAGAATAAAACTCCAACCAAAGCGCAAACAGAATTCCAGCTGACCCTGAACCTCCATCTCAACCACAGCGAGCCCAGAAAGCCCAGAGGATACCCCCTGTGGAGGGTTAGAGGGTATGTTTCTGAACAAGCTATGGCTCAGACCTCTGCCGCTTCCCTTGGCCCCTGGCAGGGCTGTGGGCTGCACGTGCCACCAAATTGCCTTGTCCTGGGGAAACCCATGCGCAAAGTCAGCAGGCCCGGAAAGCACTCGTCTAGCCCCAGGCAGCTTTGCCTAGAGCGACAGCCTCAGAACCCCACAGGGGCAGTTCTACCCTGTCCTCCAGGGCTGCTATCAGTGGGAAGTCCACTCAAAGGCAGTGAGGATTTGGGGGGGAGTTGAGAAGGCCTCTCCCAAGGTCCCAGGCCCGGGGAGCTCACCGGTGCCGACGAAGTAGCAGGTCTTGTGCATCTTTCCCTTGAAGAGCTCCAGCCCGATGATGGCGTAGATGATGAGCATGAATAGGACCAGCAGGGCGATGTGGAACAGGGGCAGCATGGCCTGGAAGATGGAGTTGAGGACCACCTGCAGACCTGCCGTGGGTGGGGCCGGGGGGAAAGCATGGTCACCTCCCCTCTGGGTGTCTCAGCCCTGGCCCTCCCTCTCTCTAGCCTCAGAAACCAAGGGAGTGGGGGGGACCCAGCGCCGGGGACAAGAGAACAGGATGGCAGAGGAGGGAGGGGTCTGCAGAGGGTGCTGCCACCCACTGGGTACCCCCGACACCAGCCGGAGGGGTCTGAGCACTCGGAAGGCCCTCAGGGCCTTGACGTCCAAGCCGGCTCCTTTGCTGCCCAGGGGGGTCGAGCTGCTGTGGATGACGTCGACCTGCTCCAGGATCACCGTGAAGACCCTGGAGTGGGGAGGAGGGAGAGAAGGTGCCCGGGACAGCTAAGCCACTGCCCAGGATCCAGGGACCCGAGCAGGGTGTCCTGTCGAGGACAGCAGAGGCCTGCGGGAGGCCTATGGGAGAGCTGGAGAGTAGGATCCCTCCAGGGCTGGCTCGTGATCTGGTGACACTGCCTGCAGTTTTGTTAGAAGGATTCTGAGACCAGGGTCAGAGCCAATGACGTGTCACGATTCGTCGGTGACACAGGCGTCCAACACGGCAGCAGCTGTGAGGACAGGATGGGTCAGGACCGGGCAGTGCTTCCTTCTGCTGGACCTACGGTCCCTAGGAGTCAGCGCTGACCCAATGGCACCTAATGACTGTGGGTGCCAGTGTGGCGGAGGGCACATTCACCAGGCATTTTTGCAGTTCGTGGAGCAGGGCTGAGTGCTCCCAGAGGGGCTCCCAGTAAGCCCCTCACTCAATGGTGGCCCAGAGAGGTAAACCAGAATCCCTCTGAGGAAGCGCACCCTTCTCTGCGACCTTCCTCTGAGGACTGACCCTCTTGGGACACACGGTCGCATGGCACACAGATGCACTGTGGACTGGCTTCTTTCTCCTTTTTCTTTCTTACTTTTATTGGGGGCTCTTCTATCTCTTCCCACTTGAGCCCCTGATACCAACTCCCCATTTCTTCCCCCTCCCCCCCCAGCCGCCCTCCCTCCCTCACGAACCTTCAATGTTATAGATTATTATTTTCATATCTTACATTGTCCTCCGAATAACCCACTTTTCCATTATTCATCCCCCTGGGAGGGGGTTCTAGATGGATCCTTGTGGTCAATTCCCCCTTTCTCCTCCCACCCTCGTCTAATCCTTCTGGTATCTCTACTCTCCTTGTTGGAACTGAGGGGTTTCTCTATCCTGGATTTTCCATGTTGTGGGCTCTTGTCTGTAGCAATGTGCATGTTCTGGTCTAATTCAATTTGTAAGGTAGAATTGAGGTCATGATAGTGGGGGGAAGGAAGCACCAAAGAACTAGAGGAAAGTTGTGTGTTTCAGTGGTGCTATAATGCACCCTGACTGGTTCATCGCTTCCCTGTGACCCCTCTGTGAGGGGATGTCCAATTGTCTACAGATGGGCATTGGGTCTCCACTCCATCTGCCCCCCCACATTCACACTGGGTATGATTTTGTTCTGGGTCTTAGATGCCTGATACCTGATCCCATCGACACCTCCTGATCACACAGGCTGGGGTGCTTCTTCCATATAGGCTTTGCTGCTTCTGAGCTAGATGGCCGCTAGTTTATCTGTGGATTGGTTTCTGAGATCCAATTATTTTGCATAGAGACCCCTGGTGGCGTGGTGGGTTACAAACGGAAAGGTCAGCCGTTCGAACCCACCAGCCACCCTGTGGGAGATGCATGAGGCTTTCTGCTCCCGTAAAGAGGTACCGTCTTGGACACTCACAGGGGCAGTCCTACTCTAGCCTGCAGGGTGGCTCTGAGTTGGCGCTGACTCAGTGACAGGGAGTTTGAGTTTGAGTCTGGTGTGCCCGGCATGACGGCAGTTCACTATGGGCAGCGGCCCACTGACAGCATTCTTGTTTTCCCTGTCGTGTCTCAGCCAGCGCTGGACAGTGAGTTAGTGGATGTTCACTATATGATTTGAGGGGTTGAATGCCAGCACAGAGCTTGAGCCAAAGCGTGTTGGGTGGACAACTGGCATTGCTGTGTGACCTGTGTGAGCGACTCATTCGACTTCTCTGCACCTGGGTTTCTTCCTCCAGAAAACGGAGACCTGAAGGGAATTGTGCGGTTTCAGTGAGATGTCAGGTGTACAGGGGTGCTTCAAATAAATTCATGGAAAAATGGAATGAAGAGATCATGGAATTTTTCCACAGACTTTTAAAAGCCTCCTCGCAAAGTGATAAATGCAAACCGTTCAGTCAGCGCTGCTGTTATAATGAGAGGAGCCTTGAGAAGGGAAAGGGAGCTAATCGGCCAGATCTGTGAACCCCAATAACAGGCACTCAATTCCAGTCCATGGAATCAATGTTGATCACTGGATCAGTCATTGATCAAGGTTGAGAAGCCTATGGAAACCCCGCCCCTGCAGGCCAGGGCAGCCCCGGCATCTTGCCCAGTGCTCAGGTGTGATGTGAAAAGAACAGAAGAACTTCAGGCCCTCGGCAGGCCTGCTTCAACCTCCCGCTCTCTGCTCTCGGACGGCAGCCCAGCAGGTGCCCAGCCGGTGGAACAGCCTCCACCGCAGCCCAGCTGTGAGCTCAGTGCCCAGGCTGCATCCTGCCTTTGCCACGGCTGGCCTCAGGGAGCCCCAGTGACCTCCAGCCCCACCCCAGCCTCACCCCAGGAAGACGATGATGAAGTCCAATACGTTCCAGCCGCTGCGCAGGTAGGCGTCCTGGTGGAAGAGGAAGCCGTAGGCGATGATCTTCATGGCGGCCTCGATGGTGAACATGATGAGGAAGAAATACTCCAGCTTCTCCTGAGGGAGCGGCAACGGGGACACATTTCATCAGGGCAAGACTGCCAGCACCCTCGCGCCCACACCCTGACCGGCAGGGCCCCACAGCCATGCCTGAGACCACTGGCATTTGCTATCCCCCTGCCCAAGCAGCCCTGGTGATGCTGTGGTGTAGTTTGGACTGCTAACCCCAGGCCGGTGGTTCACACCCACCAGCTGCTCCACCAGGGGATGTTGAGGCTGTCCGCTCCTGCCAGGATTGACAGCTTCATCGAGGATCTGAACGAACACACAAAGTCACTGCACCAAAAAGAACTAGTCAACATGCCACCGTCTCAAGAGGTAGCATGTAAGCCAGAACCATCCGTGCTGCAAGAAGAAGCTCAACTGCACTGGAAGCATCAGCTAAAGGGAAGGCTCCAGGAACCGATGGAGGAAGCACTTATTCGTCCGTGCCAGGAAATCTGGAAGGCAGCTGCTGGACCACGTGACTAGAAGAGATCCACATATGTACCCATTCAGAAGGAAGGCGGCCCAACCGAACGCCCAAGTTACAGACCAATATCCCGATAGCACCTGCAGGGAAAGTTTTGTTAGAAGGATTCTGAGACCAGGGTCAG